ATGAATACAGACACACAGACTCCTTCACAGACTTTCACATGTGTATGACCACTTACCTCCTCTGTAAACATTATGCCAGTAAATATCCAGCCATTAATAGTTCTGTTTTTTCAATCTCTTTCTTTACTCTGTAATTGTGCAGAAGAAGAAACGGGCGCAAGAGAAAGCGACGGCAAGAAAACGCAAGTTTGAACCGAAGGTGGGGTCAGAAAGGAGGAACCCGTCCCGTAAGGCACGTCCTCCTGAGAACTTCGCTGTGGAGGAAAAGAGTGAGCCGCTCAGAGTCCCAAGGACTGTAAACATCAGGAGACTGGTGCTGGTACGATATGATACAAACACTCCACACTCTGCTTACGTCTGTTATGTTCAGCTCTCATGATGTCTATTTCAATGAGTTTATGGAGAGAGAGGGGACTTGCTTGATTGAGGAAGTTGTTATGCTGATTTTCATTTCATTCTTGCAAATTTCATTAATTTATTCAAATGTTGTCTCTTATTTGAACCAAGTCAAATTTCTTCAGTGGAGTCACTTCAAATGTCTTAACAACACAAACCTGCACACTTACTCCATGACCCCAAAAAGGCATCATATTGATCTCAAGCGTTTGACATCTTTAGGCAATGAGTAAATCATTTACACTACCCAGGTTGATCAACATACACAAACAGATGTTCAGTAACACTACAGCTGTGTCATAATCCATTCCTAGATAAAAGACAAACGAGATGGTGGACAAAAGAGGAAGTCTTAAACCTCCTTTAAGAACAGATCTTATCTAAAAGGCATTCACTTGTATTTCAATACATTAAAAAACTGTAAAGAGAATCCACTCATGTCTTATTTAAGATAAGATATATTCTTTTTTTACTTCGTTATGTACATTTTTATACAGATGCGTGTATAGGAAGGCAAAAAGAAGTATTACACATCAAAAGGTAGAGGCCGTGTCAAACAAGCCCATGTGGTTTAAAAACTATTTGACCTAAAATGTATGATCTCATACTCTTGGTTCATTTTTTTTTTTTGAAGTCTTCAAATCATGACCTCTCCCCGTGGTTCTGACCAGCTCCATGCCGATCCATCTCAGGGAAGCCTCTCAAAATGCTTTGATCAAAGTGGAATCACAATGTCAAATATCTAGAACGCTACGCTACATAATAATGTGCTCTTTGTGTCCTCTGTGTTTTAAATGGCTTTTCTGCACTTGTGATTGGTCAGGTGGACGAGGAGCAAGCAGGTGAGGGACGGAAAAAGAGGAAGAGCCACAGTTCTACGAGGGTCCAGTACGTGGTGAGGTCAGTGGATGAGATCACCAAAGAAGACCTGGACAACATAGCGTACCGTAGCAAAGACAAGATCTGGGACAAGGAGAATGTGAGTTTAGAGATCTTTTTTTTTTACCAAACTGTACTGTCAGGTGTTAATGCTGACTTCATTGTGTGTCTCCTTCTTCCAGGGCAGCTCTTGTCATCAGTGCAGACAAAAGACTCTGGACACAAAGACTGTGTGTCGCAGTGGAGTCTGCGTGGGGGTCAAAGGTCAGTTCTGTGGCCCTTGCCTGAAGAACCGCTACGGGGAGGACGTACACGATGTGCTGCTCGACCCGGTCAGTGCTCGCACATTCTTCTGTTAAACATTGAACACTTTGATTTGGCCAACTAGATTAATGTGGGGCAGTGATGTAGGACTCCAGTCCAGGGCGTGAGTCCAACTCTCGAGCGCTGATTTTCAGGACTTGTGTCTTGACCCTGATTGGAACAGTGATGACTCTGACACTGACTAGAGCGTTTACCGGATCTGGACTCGGAAGACTCTGACTTACTCATTGATAAAGTCTGTGTTATTGTTTCTGTCAGTGGTTTTGTGGCAGTGGGAGCCAACATGACAAACTACAAAGTAAAGAGAAACTGAATTGTTCATTATAGGAGAGAGAAGGCAGTCAAACTCTGGTTTTGTTGACAGTTGTGGCTGCTGTGGTTCCAGAATCTAACACATGTCGCACAATGTGCTGTTTGTGAGCATCATCACAGTGCGATGAGATAATGTTGTTTAAAAGGTAACTGAATAGTCCTTTCATTCAAAATTATCAGTGGGAAATGTAGTCCAATGCATCAAATCTGTTCCCACTGGTCAACGTGCCAAAAGAAGAGCGAGGAAAATCAAAGTGTCTCAAAATGAAACAAACACTTGTCATTGTGTGTGGCTTATTGTTACACCATGCTCCTGTATTCAAATATTCAACCAAAACCACAAGCTAATACAAGGTTCTTTTCCGACGGCAGAAAAGAAAGCTGATTTGAAAAATACCTAAGCAACATAAAACCTTAAGTTGTTTACACTTGTGTTTTACATTTTATCCTTCAATGTGGACCTTCTTCTTTTTGCAGGATTGGTCGTGTCCCATCTGTCGAGGGGTGTGTAACTGCAGTCTGTGTCGTAAGAAAGAGGGTCGCTGTGCCACTGGAATCCTGGTGGGGTTGGCACGTTACAACGGCCATGACAACGTCCACGAGTATCTTGAGAGGTACGACGACTCATTCTCACGGCGCAGTTTGATGTTAATGAGTTTGATGATCATTTTATAGTCTTTTTAAAACATCAGTTAGGAAATGTCTGCTGCTACCAGTGTTGTAGTCAAGACCACTAACCGAGACCAAGACATACCCGAGACTGGAATGCTCCAAGACCTAGACAAGACCAAGACCAAGGCAGGGAGAGACTGAGTCAAGACCAAGACCAAGACCAAGCATTCATATCCGAGATGAGACCGAAACCTTCAAAAACCGACTTTGTGTACTACAACACTAGCTGCTACATTGTGCATGAAATAAGAATCTACTGGACTTTTAATATCTGTTAATGTAGCTTTAAAGTATTCCATGGACAGCTAACATCTAGCCACTAATCAAGATGTGTTTTCTTCTCCTTTGAAACTGAGTATTTGTGTGTTAAGTCTCAAGTTTTTTTTTTGGCATTGTAGACGTTAACTGAATTTAATCATTCAGTGACAGATGTTTTTTTTCTTCTCCATCGCAGCATTCAGAAGGAGGTGCAGTAAAGTCCGGCGAGGAGAACCTGCCCGCACAGCTGGAACCCGGAGCAGGCTCCTGAGCTGCACAGTACTGTAGAACTCAATATGACGCACATTGTTTTTTTTGGGGTTTTGATGAGCCTTTTATCTTACTCTTGAAACAAAAGCTAAAAAAAAAAGCTTTTTTAAAAATGTCACCTTAACATAAGGCACATACACGGTTAATACATTTGATATATTCTGATTTAAGGCTGCATAAGATGCATGCCTGTTTTTATAGTTTTAAAGTCAGAACTCCAAACAGCTGTATATTTTTGTTGTTATGTTTTACCCTCTGTCTATTCAGAAAAATGTCAGGTTTGGTTACTTTCTGTGTTATGGATGCAAAGGAACTTTTTTTTTTATAGCTGCTGCTTTCTGAAAGTGAGTAACTTCACAGCATTCTTGTCAAATTCACTGAATATTTTAATAAAGATGGCATTATCTAAAGGATTTGCCATGTTGTACTACATTTTCTTTCAACAGATTTTGATGCACGTATGCGCTGTGTCTTTAAGAGAAAACTTTATTTGCATAGCGCCTTTCATGCAACGATGCAGCCCAAAGTGCTTGATGGAACAAGATCAGATGGAGGAGGGACAGGGAAACAAAAAATAAACTAAAAAGAGGACTAGTAAACCAAACAATGCAAACAAAGCAACCAAAGATCAAGCTGTGTGTGTGGCAGATTACAGGTGAGAGGGGTCAGCCTCAGGTCAACTGACCAGGGAGTCAGCTGACCTCAAGGTATGAGTAATGACAAGGTATGAGTGCTGCAGGGCGGAGGGTCACGACACGGTCAGGCAACACCTTGAGTTCACTGCTTCTTCAGCAGATATCGCTGACATGCAACAAGTGTGAGGAAAAAAAAAAAGGTCTATCAAAAGTTTGATCTAATCAAGGGTGTCTCATGGACAACACAAAGTGATTAAGGTCTGCACACAGGTCCAAATTGATATGCCAATCTTTGTGCTCAATGTCTAACCCAATGCATCATTTAACATCCAAAGAGTTGAAACAAGAAAAAATCTTTCTCTTCTGATACTTTGATGGTTCTTCATATTCAACTCTTTACCTTCTGAACTCCACTAAAACACCTGAGGGTGCACAGAGAGGTTGTAGCTTTAGGTGATTCTGCTTCAAAGGAGTGACATGTCAGAGGTGTGTGTAAGCTGACTGATGTAAGTGATGCTTTCAATAAACAGAGTGAACTGACTGTGAACTCTTCCAAGTCAACCTTTGATCGTGGCTGAACTACACTCGCATCGTTTGGTAGACTCTGACGTAGGCGTCTTGTTGGCTAATTATCCTTTCACACAAATCAAAACAACTCAGTTGTTAGAGCACACTGTCCCATACCTGCATGTAACACGTCTGATCGGTGTAGCATCAATTTTGGAGACTATTACCAAAAGAAACCGTAAGAAGGAATTTTCTTCCTAGAGGAAGTACAGATTCTTCATCATCTCTGTAGTCACAACACAGCTGGGAGATTGCTCAATACTGAGGGGCTGAAGGGAATAGAGTTGTCACGATACCAGAGCAGCAGCCAACAGTCCACACATGATGTCCCTGTCTCTCTCTTCTCTCTGTCGGCAACAAACACTCACACAAGTTTTGCATCCAATATGAGTCATATATTCTAAGAAAATTGATGTTTGTTTTACCGCTTTGTTTTCATCATGGACCTCGCTCGCTTCAGTTACCTCTCTGCTGTCTCTTTTGCTTGCATTAGCTTAGGATTGAAAACATGACTGCAGATATTTTGTGTTTGTAAAGCTTTGGTACTTTTTCATCACAATTTAACAGATTGTGCCGTTCTAAAACACATGGTATTGAAAAGAATGTAAGCATAGCTTTTTTTGGTGCTTTTAAGTTTCAGTGTAACAGAGTCTTCAAAGAACACAAAGCAACAGAGAACACTTCCAATCATTTTTGGATCACTTTATTCTGTGTTATGCAGGCAAATGGTTTCTGCTCGATTTCGTCTTTTTTTTTCTTTTTATATCGACATAACACGTTTTTACAAACCAGTTTTAAAAATATCAACAAACTGGAGCCTTTGAGGCTAACCCGGCTAAAAACCCATTATCAAATGTCATGGAGACGAACAAACATCTTTTAGAAAAGATTTACAAATGAGATGTCACTACAAAATATCAAAGAAAAAAGTTGGTTGTCACATAAAATATTACCAAAACATCTAAATTTGTTTGGTATCAACCTTTTTCAACTTTTAAACGATAGTAGCTTTTTTTTTTTTTTTGCTTTCTTCTTGTGTTATTTATTTTTCTTCAAAAACACATTATGGCGCAAGAGAAGAAGAAGAACCGGACAGCAATGGTCAGACGTAGAAAAAGAAAAATAGAAGCACAAAGAGTAAAGAAGAAAGAAGCAGCACTACGGCAAAAAACTGAAACATGCTGTACACAACCTCAGAATCAACGCACACAAATACAAGTCCAGCAAAGGCAAATAGTACAAATCAAGGATAAATAATAAATTAGCAAAACACACTGGGGTCCTGTGTGTTAACATTGTGGGGGAGGGGGGGGACAATTAATAAACTTTGTAAAATAAACTTATTTTCAAATTTTAAAAAAATGTACGCACTGAACTAACACAGAGCAACACCACCAAAAACATCTCATAATATCCACATATCTAAATACCCAACCCACTCCCACCCTCCTATCACCTGCTCTCTTTACCTCTCTGTGCTCCACTCACTTTCCCCCGCCCCTAACCCCTGACGATCCCGGCGTACGACAGCTTGTGTTAAGGCAATTGTGTACATCGGTCACGTTGGTAGCATTGGAGGTCAAGAAGGTCCCCTCTGGAGCACAGACGGCAGAGAGAAACATCAGTGAAGGTGCAGACGTAACTGTCGTTAAACCTACCAGGTTACCATCTGATGTTAAACGCTCGTTACAAAATGACAAAAAGTCACACGAGATACATTGAAGCTTTGATGTTAAAGCCACCCTGTGGTCTATCTGCAAATGTTCTGGTTGTTCAGACGACAGCACTGCTCTCATATGTTCTCCCCCGTCTTGGCTTGTTTTATTAACAGAGAAAACGTCCCCTGACAATGTAAACATGGTTTCACTAAGATTGTCGTTAAAGTATTGCTTTCACTACACAAACAAAGTTGTAGAAAGCTAGATTGTTTTTTCTTCATAGAAACCTTTTTTTTTCTAATGGGCACTGCGCCTCAATAGGAATGCATTATTTTATAAATCTTTTCTTATGTGCTTTTTTTCTACTATTTTTTATTTTTTTTCTAGAATTAACCCCTCTCTTTTTAATAACAGTTTATCCGTAGACTGGTCTCCAAAGGGTTCAACACCTGAATCTGATCTGAGGACGTCACCTGAACCATAAATAAACCTCAAATTAGGTAGATCCTCTCCATGACAGCATGGGAATACAAATCACATTCACACAGGTCACACATACACAATCCCAAGACTGCCTCTCCTCTGTCACTGCTCTGCAACAGTTCCTGTTTAATGATTGACCCTCAGTTCTGTCTGAAAGGTATGAATCAGGAACTCAACTTTGTGCATAGAGTTAGTTTCTGTTGCAATTAGGAAAATGTCTCTTGATGTTCGATAGTTTTTGATTCAGCAGGTCCCCCTGTCTTGTGCTAATCTAGACACACTTTTATTCCTTTCCTTCAACAGGAATGGATTTAAAATAGATTTATTTAATAAATGCCAAACTAATCTTTCATAAGATTAGACTAAGTTTGTTATTATATGTGTTAGTTCTTTTTTTTTTTTTTAGAAAACAATGTTGCTATTTTATGGTTTCTCTTCATTGCATGAGCTTCTCTCTTTTGAGTCCCTTTCATGAGAGAACAACATTTTTTTAAAAGATGTCAAAAAAAACAAACAGATGCCATCCTCACAGTCCCTGCAAAGACTCCCAAAAAACAGGAAGTCAGCCTTCAACGAAGAGAAAGGAGTCAGCGGCCTATTCAAACTCCTCCTCTTCCTCCTCCTCCTCTTCCTCCAGGTGATTGGAGGTGGTGGGTGTAGCGGGGTCAGAGTCACGTGAGAGTGTTGCCACAGCAACAATCTGAGGGATGGCCCCCAGGCCTACTGGTGCGTCTTCTTCCATGTCATCGGTGGTGATGATTGCCACCGCAGCCCCACCCTTCTTATTCTGGTGGGTCTTGATGTGCTTAGAAAGGTGGTCACTGCGCATGAAGCGCTTTGAGCATTCTGGACACTCGAAGCGCTTTTCTCCTAAAGACAAAAGTGTAGAGAAAAATAAACTTTCTATAGAAGTTTTCAGAAGTCCTTTTTTTAATGCATTTTTGGAACTTAGAAAATAAAACGTATTAGTCCTACTTTTCTTTTTCTCTTATATCGATGCAACGTGTAATTAGACATATTCACATTATCAACTAATGAGTTGAAAAGAATAATCAACAATCAACAGAACAGAAAAGTATGATGCCGCTTTATTACATGCACACAGATTGCTTTGGGCAGAGATTTGTATCAGCAGAAACTGAATTGTGTTTTTTTATTTGAGTTTCTCAAGTTGAGTAATTGAGTGAAATATTTGAATTCAAATCACATAATTTGAATATGTATTATTAAAACTGAATCTAAAAAGCATCATTTGAAATGGAATTTATTTGTATGTAACTGTCCCAATAAACTTGAAACTGTAAATAGCGCTCTGCAATAGAATAGATGTTTTGAAGCGATTCTTTTCCTCACTAAAATGACAAGATGCTAAATTCAGTTCTCTCTAAAAATGTACGCTACTACTGGTAATCTACTGGTAGATCAAGTCCAGATTCACAGCACTCCTTTTTGACCGAACTGCACCTTTCTCTTCACCATTTGACTACATGGATCCATGGGATTTTTGCACGTTAGAGAAAACATTTCTCTCTTTCCATCATGGACGACGCTCGGACAAACATGGTAATATTTAGCTTTCTCTTAACTGTTTAACATTCCAGTTATGTAGTCAGATTGTGTCGCTCTGTCAGTGAGTATAAACAAAGTTTATGCCAGGTTAGCCTATTAGCTTTTTGAAGATAGGAAGAGTTTAAATTAACATTAAAATTAGCTCATATTATACAAGATAGCAACTGAGTGTTTCTTAATGCACAGTAATGTCAACACACACTTTGTTTGACATTTAGCAGCATGTTGCATCCTGATCTATTTGTTCTATGCACAATTGCTAATGGGTTATTTCAAATCAAAACCAAATTTGACTTAGTTGGAAATAAAAGGTCTGCATGCTGACACAAATTTCTGAGGATATTTTTTCTCTCCAAATAATACAATAAAGATTCATCGATGACGAGAACTTCAACCACAGCTGTTACCACATCCCCTGAATGTGTGAACGTGTTGCCTACCTGTGTGTGTTCTCCGGTGTCTCTGCAGCTCGTCGCTCCGTGTGAACCTCTTGCCACAGAAGATCCAGTTGCAGACAAACGGCCTCTCCCCGGTGTGCCATCGCAGGTGAGCCCTCAGGTGGGACGTCTTGCCGTAAACCTTCCCGCATCCCTCCATGTGGCAGATGTGCTGCTTCTTCTTTGAAGGGTCCCCACTGTTTCTGCAACACAAATGTGAGTTGACAAGGGTGTCTAGAAGGTTTTTTCTTTTTTTTTTGTTACCATGACGTATTTCTTTGCAGTGAATGCTTGACCACTTGGAGTAAACCATCAGTTTTTTTTTTATAAAGTTGACTATCACGAGAATCAGTCAAACTTCTATAAAATGAGTATGCTGAGTAAACTCACAAGAAACATTTGACATGTCTCTGAGTATTTTCAGTGCATGTTTTTGGGACTGATTACAGTGCAATGTGTTGAGTGATGCTGATACAAGCTGGACTGAATTCTAACCATCTGTCAAACCAGTTGTCTCACTATGACATGATGTTCTTCAATTATTTTGGAAAAATCACAAAATATAAACTTCTGTAAACAAGGCCATATTTGGGGTGGAAGAGAAACACTTGAATTTGTTTTTTTTACGTTTAGGCTCTCAGTGAGAACTCTTTGTATTTTAGCATGGAACTTGTACCTTTGAGCAGCTTTATGATTTTTTTTTTTCTGAATACTTATGTTGAGAACTTCAGGTTTTTTAATGCCACAGTTTAGTTTAATTTCCCTCTTCTGGAAAAACCAAACAAAACCAAATCCAGTAGTTGACCTCAAACACCGGTTTTTCTTTGTCCCCATTGTGTCATACCTTCCCTCTCCATCCCTGCAGTTTGGACAAGAGCAGGCAACACGACGTAGCCTCTTGCTGGGCGGTCCCTCTTGATCCGAAGAACTCTGAACGGAGCCCAGCTGGTCTGGACTCATCGATGAACCCGATGCCACGTTGCCGACAGTGACCGTCACAGGAGAAGACTGAACTTTAACCCCATCCTGACCCTGTGGTTGACCTGAGAGGGGCAGGAAATTGACAAAAAACTTAAGAATGAAAAACTAGTATTGTATTGCCTCTTGTGTTTTTTTTTAAAGTAATTGTACGGGAAAAACTGAAAGAGCAAAAGCATCATAACTACGAGACACGCAATTAAACAGTAGAATATCCTGGTTAAATTAGCACAAAATTAGCCTCTAGTTGCTAATTAAGTGAATACTGAAAGGTTGGAACATGGAAATGATTAGCCCTCAAATTAACTCAGTAACTTCTAAGGCTTCCAAAATAAATCAGTTATTGATCAGTCTCTACACATTCACACAATAACTCTTAGCGCACACTTACCCTGTAGACCAGTAATGGTGAGGGGGACACCTTGCACCTGAACCCCAGCAGTGCCCAGGCCTGCAATGCTGACCGTCTGCACCCCGGACCCTGGGTTGATTTGGGCTGCACTGAGCGTCAGTGGGGCTCCGCTCAGGGAGACCAGCCCTCCACTCCCCACTGTTGTCCCACCAGCCATAGGGGCAAGTGTAAGCTGCTGTGGCATAGCTGTCCCGAGGCCCCCCTGCAAAGAGACTCCTCCTGGTAGCTGCAGTGTTTGCCAAGTGATCTGCCCAGAGGGGGACAGGGTGGGGGTACGAATAAGGACCTGGGCTGGGTTCTGGAAGGCTTGGATGGGCTGCAGGGTTTGTCCCGGGGCAAGTTGGAGGGTCTGAATATGCTGAGGTTGCTGCTGGCCCTGACCCTGACCCTGAGGCTGCAGCTGGATCTGCTGCACAAGCTGGTGCCCCACCTGGCCAACGATCACCTGCTGGATGGTTCCTGCAGAGTCTGCCTGGTTCTGCAGCCCGTTGGGCTGATTCTGGCTCTGTGAGTCCGCCTCACTGCTCTGCACCTGGTTGTCAGCTGATCCTACCTCTGACGAAGCAGAAACAACTTGTGTCCCATCAGACACCCCGTCACCTTCGGCTACAGCCACTGTTGAACCAGCTGATGAAGCAGGAGCTGTGCTGTGCACTGCTGTTGTCATTAGCTGGTTGCCATTGGCAACAGAGAATGTGCCATCTGCTGATTGGATGAGCTGCACAGCCCCGCCTCCTCCAACATTATTTATCACAGGTAGGGCAAGCGTCATGCCACCAAGGTTTATGGGTAAAGTGGTCATTACAGGAGTCTGGGAGCCCTGCAGAGTCTGAAGCTGCAGCGGGAAAGACTGTGCAGGGCGGATCTGCAGCGGGACTGTCTGATTAGCTGTACTTGTCAGGATGGCTTGCTGGTTGGCTTGCTGGAGGATGGCCTGTGGCTGGCTTGGACTCTGGGTCTGGATGAGCTGGACCTGCTCTGATAGAGCCCCGATGGATGTTGGAGCTGTGCTGATATGGATCTGTTGTCCATCTGCAGTCTGCAAGTGAGGGATGACCTGATACTGGACCCCGCCCCCAGCATTGGGCAGGTTTTGAACCTGGATAATCTGGAACTGCTGCTGTTGCTGATTGGCTGCAACACTGTTAGTCCCACCCATTGGCTTCACCTGTCAACAGGAAAGGTGCAGTTACATTAGGTTAGGAAGACAAACACAGGCAGTAAAAAAACATTTGCATTAACCTGTCGCTCCCCCACCTCCTTTACCTTGCGTCCTACAGGTGAACTATCATTGGCCAAGGTGGTGGCCACAGTTACAGCTACAGGCTGATTGGTGTTCTCCTTGGCCATGGTGGGTGCTGTAGTGATGATCTGCCAGCCGTTCCCCGTAAACTGAGCAGGGACAAGTTCCAGCTGCTGGGGCACCAGGGCCTGGCCTCCACCTGTGTCCACCACTATCTGACCCTGGAGCTGACCCGCCTGCAGCTGGATCTGACCCGCCTGCAGCTGGATCTGTTGGGCCCCCGTCTGGGCCTGGGCCCCCTCAGCTCCTCCCTGCCCTCCGATCTTACTGCAGGTGGCCGCTAGTAGAGCCAATGGAGAGGGCTGTGAGGAATCCTGGAGGAGACACGGCAGAAGAGAGGGTGGAGGACCGGAAGAAGAGAGGGGAGGAGAGAGAAATGAGTGACAAGATGAGGAGAAGCCAGTCGAGGTAAGAGAGACACAGCTCGTTGACGCAAGAAAACAAAAATGTATAACTAGCAAGTAAGAAAAAGCCAGAAGAACATGAGCTGGGCAGATATTACGAGGCACTAGTACACTGCGAACAATTTGAAACAAAGAGGAGATATAGTAAAAGAGCAAGAGGGGAGAGAAACATGGTGCAGCGGAAAAAAAAAAAAAAGAAACAAAAAGCTGAGAGAAAGAGAGAGAGCTGTCAGTGGAAGTGGGCGGTAATACAGGAAGCGAGTGGGTGGGCGTGTGAGAACCACATTTCTCTTTTCTCAGAACACTGTAAGAAAATGCCGCCTTCTCTTGCTCTCCTCCCTTTCAGAGGAACTAGGTCGCAGGCAAATTGTTAATGCCGTACACCTCTCAACCTTGTGTGGAAACAGCCTAGATGTTACTACAGTAGTATAGAATGAGAAAGCAACTATTTTTGTCATACACATTTAACAACAGAACATGCGTTAAGGAGTAACTGCATGGCCTAAACTAATCTCCAAGATATATACAACATATAAAAGGAAGCTTAACATAGCTTTCTCCAGTTGGAGAGCCTTGCTCCAGGTTTTTTTTTTTTTTTTAAATAAATCCAAAGAGCAGAATTAAACCATTTTGATCCTAATTCAAACAGATAATACAAAAGTACAGTTGCTGAAGTGTGACAGCCATGTAAAGCCTATTCAAGAAGCTCTGGGCTTGCACTCAGCAGGGCTGCACAGAAGCAGGAAGTGGAATTCACCCGAGAAACGCCCCCAGAGGTGTCTGGCTGCCTGGAAGGGGGGTTACATTTTTTGGGCTTCCAAGCAAAGTCAAAATAAAGAACTATATTCAACTTTCATTCTTTTACCTGCTGTCCAGAACTTTTCCCCTTCTTAGACGCTTTCCCTCCTTCAGTTAAAGATGATTCCTTCTTCGAGTCTGTGAAACAGAGGGTCAAATGTAAAGAATATTTCCAGTTATATCATCATCACATGAACATTTCTGAATAGTGCAAAGTGGAGGAGACAAGGATGAGGCACAACCATGAAGACATTTAGTTGCCTGAATAAAATCCTATCCGAATGCAGATAATGGCTTCACAAAGGTGATCAATGAAGGCAGAGGAGAAACCAGTAACCTTATCATCAATATCAAAGGGGCTTGGAGCCTCCTATCTGTCAGACAGAGAGAGAGAGAGGGGTGGAGACGGAGAGGGGGGAGGGTACCTACCACTCATAACGTATTAATATACCGAGAGGGAGAGGGTGTAGTTCACGGTAGAAGGCCGGCCGGGCACAGAGGCGGAGGACGGCCTATATGTTCGGCGCTGGGCCGTGGCGGATCTGCCCGTTTTGACGAAACCACCCACCGGCCAGGAAGGGCGGTGCCAAACGCAGGCACAATCAAGCAGCTCTGAATAACAAGAGATAACGGACAACCCTGCGACCGTCCCCCGGCCCGTGGCCTCCTCGCGAGCCCTGCCGTGCGTCCCTTTCAGCGGACAAGCAGTCCATAAACTAGAAAATTAACGCTTGTCAAAATTATATCCACAGTGAAGTTGGCAGTGTGTGACGGTAGAGGCCCACCCACTTCCATTTAAGCATCAGGACAACACCCTCTCCGCTGCTCCTGCCTGTCGCCGCCGTTTTCTTTCGCAGCACGACGCGGGGACGCCTTGTCGCCGTCCGTCGTGCACCGAAAACAACCCGTCACCACTGTTCGTATTTGACGCGTATTCCCTTTTTTTTCGTGCACAATTGATTTTTTAAGAGGAGATATGGTGAGATAGATGTGGCTTTGTGGGCGGATGCGCTCCTCCCACTTATTCAGATTGGACGACGAGGCTCGGCGTGCGAGGGTCGAGATGGGAGTTGTATTTTGGTGAAGCCCTGCCTTCTCGAAGTGGATTGGGCGGCCGGGACTACAACTCCCATGATGCTCTCCGGCGTCAGGCGGTTGTAGCGGCGCTGTTACGGTAGTCATGTTGGTGTGAGAGCGAGGGAGAAGGGCGGTGACTTCTGTGTTGTGGGGGGTTGGGCGAACTGGAAAAGGAGGCGTGTGTGTGTGTGTGTGTGTGTGTGTGTGTGTGTGTGTGTGTGTGTGTGTGTGTGTGTGTGTGTGTGTGTGTGTGTGTGTGTGTGTGTGTGTGTGTGTGTGTGTGTGTGTGTGTGTGTGTGTGTGTGTGTGTGTGTGTGTGTGTGTGTGTGTGTGCGTGTGCGTTTTTTTTTTCCATTTCTGTGCAGTGTGGTGTCAGGGTGACAGTCCTATTGGAGAGAAGAGGAGAGCAAGAGAAAGCAGTAAAACTACAGTGTTAGTAAAGAGGACAATGTTTTTTTTGTTTGTTGAGAAAGTGAAAACAAGTCAATTCATCAATGAGTCAGCAAAAAGGAAAGTAAGCAACAATAGGCCTATCTATAACTTTAATAGGAAAATGAAAAAAATGAAAAACAACCCTCTGGAACATTTCAAGTGTGGATGTCTGTTTTATATCTGCATCTTCAGTTATGTTAAAGTGAATTCTGGGTATTTTATAAAACGAGAAACTGGATTCTGCCTCTAAAACTGCAATATTGTGATTGGATATCCTTCATTCTAACTTTTACAATGTAAATTATTTTTAAAAAATGTAAACATAATTGAACAGGTCATCTAAGAGTTAAATTAAAAATGAGTTGCAGTCTTCTATTGCTCCATGACACATCAATGTATTTAATCCTAAATACTCAGATAAGAACTATATAAGTAATCCAGCCTTTTAGTCTGTAGTTAATGTTAATATGCTAGAATCATCTATCTTCTACTTGAACTACTATTTGTGAATAAAATAACTTTGCCAGTGCTGTTTAATAAATTAATTAGGAGAACATGCAAGTTTCTTATGTCATTTTTCAGTATTAATCTCACAGAAGTTTGTGACAGGCCTGACAGTATGAAACAGAAGTCATGTCTCTCACCCACACACCTGAACCACATTCTCAAAGGGCAGTTATGTGCAAAGTTCAACCCGGCAGACAGGGTGACATGCTGAAGTAGGCTAGTTGGCCTGTACGTTCTCAGGCAGTGGTTTCTCTCCTCTCTGGTTTCTCCTCCCCTTTAGCAAAAGTCTTCCTGAGCTAGGATTGTTGCCGAGTGGAGTTACAGCACTGGTTCACCAAGCAGAAAACGTCGTTAGCGGTCAGCCATACTGAAGATATGCCTGTAGCAAAGGGGGGGAATAGGCTAAATATTATGACACTCATACAATTCTTATCAAGAATTACTGAGTTTAAAATCTAACTTTTCCACACCGAAGGCCCTAAAAAGATAGAGTGGTTTATCTGTTTCTTTGTGGTCCTGATCCAGTTTTTGCTCTAAGCATATGTTCACAGATAAACAAACTATAAACACACACACCTGGGGTGGCCCAGAAACATAGGCTACATACACACACGCACTGTAATTACTGCGGAAGCCAAGCGCCTTGTTCCCGCCCCCTGGGCCACTCAGCAGGATGTTGCTAGGCAACGGGGTCTGTTCTGAAGAAGGGTTGTTGTCTGTATGTGAGCATGTGTGGTGGTTGTGATGAAAAGGTGGTGTTAGAGGGAAAGCTATTGAGATAAAGCCTATATACATGCAGAAAGCTTATTTGTTCATATATAGTGCTATAATACTGTATACTGTATACTTCCAACAGCATGAACCCTTAATAAAGCACACCTAACCTTGAGGGATTATACAGGGTGGGGGGGGGGGATTCTGCAAACTTAACTTTTGGCATAAAAGAAAAAAGCTGATGAAATACAATGGTCAATAAAAAGCTATTCTTTCTATGTAGTGAAAAGTGGCTGTTATAATCTATTGTTTTCCAGCTGCTACCACTAGATGGTGCCGTTTACCATGCAGCTTGGGCTTCTCAGATACTACAGACAGTGTAGGCTACTGCAGGCTACTCACACCTGTGGTGATAGAAATATTAAGATCCATAGGCTATTTGATTAAAAGTTAAGATTATGCAATGCACAAATACTCTGTAACAATTGATTTGACATACCAAATAATTACACAAGGAACTAAAAAAAAATTTAAAGTAAAAATATTTTTTAGATAGGCTATGAAAAACTGCCCTTTATTCAGTATTGTCTGTTTCTGGATTATCATAGGCTACTTCTGCATCTATATTTAAGAAGCAGGTTCAGCTAATTTTAACTATTGGTATAAACTGTTTCATCAATGTACATGCGTCATATTTGAGGTTGATTTTACACAAGTGGGCCTACATTACTTGAGCTTTGAGTAGGCCTACTGACAGTTCTTCATCTCATGAAAGACATAGTTCTGAAATTATAATCACTTAACTTTAAGCTACTTCTTAATTGGGAAAGGATGAACTAAACTGCCTCTCTCTTCAGATTTCTAACTAACAGTCCTACTGACATTTATGGCCTGTGTGGATTTTTATAAGCCTATAGCTTTGCAATAACGTTTTCATCCTTGCTTCTTCTTCTAAAAATCAGAAATACATATATTTCATTATATCAGTGTACGTTCTGTTTGCTTTGTAATTTTTTTTTTTTTTTTTTTTTTACAAGTGACACATATTAAACAAGAAGTGTGGAAACAAATGCTCAGGTCATGTCATGATTTGGGAAAGAAGGTTATACAAAAACATAAGTGCAGCCCAAGTCAAGAGAGGAAATGAAGACATAAATGTTAGCAATTGAACTGTCTGAAGCACACTAATTTACAGTCCATGAGCTCACCAGATAAAAATGTATGACTAGATTTTTAAGCTAGGACTAAGGTTTACTTGTTATCTTTAAAGCTATCCACTCTCAGTTGGCAGTCTGTATCTCTTCCATGCAAACTCCAGCTGAGAGCAAATTCCTTGGATCTGACTTTGAAAGTAAAGCATCACATTGACGCGCAAAGGGCTCAGAATCAGCTAAAATAAAAATAAAGAAGGGGGGTACAAAAATTGGATTTAAAGATATTTCAAACTGAACATGAAAATGACCTGATATGCATCTTTGATGTTCTACAATTTAGACAATGATTGATCAGAATTTAAATGAATTAACTTAAAAACATACTACAAAGATTTGATTTTAGAGTCATTGTTCAGACATCATTATTACACCTCAGACATCATGGTGAGTGTTTCGTCCACCTCATTGTTAGTGTACATCTAGTCAGTTTCTTTCTGTTTCTTTTTTTTTTTTTAGGCGTGCTATATCAAAACATTTAGCACATACACACACGTAAAGTCATATGCGTAGGTGTGCATTTGTCACATGCGGCCCTGGCGTCAGGATGTCTCCCTCTCCTAAAGGTTAGGCAGTAAAGACGGAGAGATTTATGACTTCTAACATGAGTTAATGTTTTGGCAGATGCCTCTGTCGTTCATACCATCTGTATGCATGCGTGTCTGTTTGTATGTGTGTGTGAGTGCAGACCTGGGGAACTTGTTGACGGGTGATAACAGACGTGTCTCACATAACTTTCCTGTAACAAGCTACAAGCTGTGATTATAGAGGGATAGATGCAATATAAAGTCATTATGTGCTCACGCTTTAGTGCCAGTAAGTATGAATGAGATTGATGATGTCACTCCTTTATATAGCTCATCATCATAACTTCCATTTGGGACTTTTTAACAGATACAATTTGGATTGACAGAGGAATGTTACTTTTTAATATTTCTTCAAATGTCTTGTTAAAAAGAATAATTAAACCTGATGCATCCTGGTGGGATATGGTGAAAAAGGACACACATCCACTGGACTAGAGTAGCATTAAGCTCCATGAAAGTTGGCAGCATCTTACTGTAATTATAGCTGAATGATTGATGCTTCCTGGTGTCTAGATCTAGTGGAAAAAAACTGGTGTGTCTTAGTAGGCATGGTGCCAGTGCAGGGTGCGGACGGGACGTGCGTCTTACCAACAATGAGAAACAGCTTTTGTCAAAGGGGGTTTCCTTTGTCCTCCTCTCTAAATGTTTTAAGATTTTGTTTTTGTTTTGCCACCAGTTGTTTTTGTTTGGACATGCCAGCTGAAGAGCTATAGTTCTGTCAGATGGTTTCAGACCTCAGTCACCTCTCTTACTTGCGAGCACACTTTAAACTCAATGCACTCCTCATTAACTTGTTTTCTCACCCGTCGTCTCAGTACATAAACAAACACAATGAACAAGTAGATATCAGAAGTAATCTGCAGCAGATTACTGATTTCTAGAGGCCTAATGTCTGAGTATCCAAAAAATGTACACAATAAAAAAAACTAAAGGAGAAACAGCAGGAGATGATTTATATTTGAACATTTTGTTGATTTTATGCTGACCCAGAAATTAGAATAAGAAATACTTGATATAGCCCAAGGGTGAAATTCTGTAAATACTCAAAGTACTCAAAATAAACAATGCTCAATCTGTACTAATTTAAAAAATGTGTTCAAATAAATTATAAAAAAAAAAAATTCTGTTGAATTGTTTAGCCGATCTGCCTAGTTAAAGATAAAGTCAGGATCTTTTTCCTTAAAAATAAAATATAGACTTTTACAAAAGTAATAGCCGCTCAATCCCCACGTGGTTGTGACTGTATTTTGATCAAGTTAGGGTGTTTCTAGTCGGGGAGTGTATTATTTTCTCCCAGCCAATGAGAGGGCGTTTGGATGCCATTCAATCCCGCAAATATTGCAGATTTGGATGTAGCAGCAAAGAAGAGAAAAACATCATCAACGAAGCGAAACACCTCAAGGATAAAGCTTGTTTTGAAAAGAGGGAGAACCTTGGGTTGGCTTTCACCGGCAGACGTGGCGTTGGCCTTTTTTCTGTTGGA